GGTATCTGCGGGGTAAATAAAACCAATCGTAGTACAACAGAATAGTGCTTTATAGGAGAGTCTTATTTCAGCAGTTAATCTTCTATACACTTCGATAGGGTTTGTCAAATTACCTATGGTATCCTCTTCTTTGGCTTCTTTTTTTATGCCCAATGTTGTTTCTGTTTAATCAACTCTCAAATATCTGGTACTGTGGCTAGTCGGAGTTGAATTTCTTCTATATTTATTGCACTTAAAACTCTTTTTTTTTCGTTCTAAGCTGTATGATCATGGTGGTTATTCGACAGCTTGCTGAACGACAAACAAATAATATACGGCGTTGATGCCTCTGATCATCTAGTAAGCCTTTGGGATTTTTATTCGTTTCAACGCCAAGTAGTCCTCTCCTTTTGTAAAACAATTTCAACCCAAGCGAACACCAGAAACATTATGGAACAAATGAACGAGCTCAGGAAAGAGCACCGCTAAAAGCACGCACGTAACGGCACCGCTTGCTGATCCGGCAAAAAAAAGTGTCCTTGGCCAACCCTTTTCTACACAGCTGATTCCCGGACGCATGAGAGTCTGACTCTTGAGTTTGCCTATTGTAGACGCCAGCGAGCAAAGCAACGCATAAAAAAGCAAGCCTCCTCTTAGGACCTTAAGTCTGGAACAAGGATGGACAAGACGCAAGGGTTAACGGGCATTTGCCTAAGGGCCATATTTAAAATGGAGAGTAAACAATCACGAAAGCAGTGGTTAAGTTATATTTGTCTGCTGTACTCGTCTCCTAAAGACAAACAAAACGAAATAAAGAAAGGAGGGGAGAGAGAGGGGGGAGAGAGAGAAATATAACGCATCTCATCGGTGGAGAAAGAAAGGTAAGGCGGGATACCTTTTATTTTTCGTCTACTCTTCACGGCGGCGGCGGCGGCGTCTCGTCTACGCGTCTACATGTGCTTCGTCCCCCCCCCCCCCTCCCCCTGTTTCTTTGGCGGCGGCCTCATCATCATCGGTGTCCTTGGCACACAATAGATGCTGTCAACTTCTGTCTATTCTTCACATTCTAACTGCGCTTAGAGTCTAAAGATGGGGGAAACGAAGCTAAGGGAACGAAAGATCGAGAGAAGCCGAAGCGCTTAGCCTGCATCCCCCATATGACCTTTTCCAAAAGCTACGAAAATAAGCTGCCAAAGGGGTCATAGTGTTCGAGTCTTCTGTAAACTTGTATATTTCTGCATGGTTTCGGGTGGTCTGCCTGGTTCCTTATGTCCCTCCCGTCCACCTGTTGTGGAGTACTAGCACATAGTCAGAGCTAACAATTCTAGCTGCCCGGATGGCGAAATTTCTAAAAAACTCTATAGTCTATACTATTGTCCAAACAACCCTTCCTGTAAGATTCTTCTCGGCATTGTGCAGCAGTGCTGTCTTATTCGTACTTCGAGACAACTTTCGTCTTTTGTTAACTAGAAAAGACTGATCCGTTTTCTGCCGCTTTCAGCTCACTTCTCTCTGTAGGTATCTACTGCCGTTAGGATAGCCATAATGGACTCTTCATATCGCTTTGCTCTGTAACTTGTTTTGAGCATCTTCGTAGCCAATCTCAGTGAGATACCGCAAAGCGGTGAGCGACGTGCGTCAGTGAGGGCCTAGAAGGCGAAAAATAGGTCAAACATTGGAAGACCATACTGTTACGGAGGTATCAGACAAAAGAAAAACAGGCAAAAACGAACGACTGTGTCGTCCCAAACGATGCAACCTGTGGGTGAGAAGGTGGTGATGATCACAGCTGTTGAGTAGCAGACATAGCGATATGGACATAGCATAATCCCAAAGGCATCTTGGCTTTGCCTCGCTTACACTGCGTATGACTCGGCACCTTACGCACCTTACAAATTAGTTTAGACATGAGGTTATGTCCCGCTTCAGAGGGTCATCGCCATATTCTGCAGCCTACACGAACGCCAAAAAGGATGACAAGGATAACGTGGAATAGAAAAATATCCATCTCTCTGCCACAAAAGTGCGAGAGTTCAAAACACGGCATTAGAATCAATCAATTTTCAGGTAAGGGCAAACATTTGAAAGGTAATAAAAGGTCTCTCTAAAAGGATATGTTCATCAATTAATCATGAATCGAACATCCGTGAAGGCCATACCGCTTTAATGGACATCTTTCATTCTCAACAACTATATAACCGTTGAGTGATGAGAAAAAAAAGCAGGCTTGAATAGACAGTTTTCTATTTAGTTAATCTTTGTCACGTCCATCCTTGGAGAATAATTATATAGTTGTTCATTGAGTTTAAATGAATGTTATGCAGTATCGTAGAGCGCCCTTGCTAGACGACGCGTCGTAAGCCCCCTAAGGAAGCTGGACAGAAACATATGAAGAAAACAGATCTTGAAATTATATCTGTAATATTTAAAGTTCTGAAGGAATATTTGTTCTAATGTAGTTCGTTAGTATAATAGATCAAGTTATCTAGCACTAACTTATCCTGCCAAAAGGTTAAATGCAAATTAGCTTTTAGTTCGTTTGTGTTTACTGAAGCAGCATCTTGAAACTTCACAAACTATTACTTAAACTGCTCTATGTGGACAAAAAGTCACAGCTAAATTTTATTGAGTCGTTCTTTTCCCGAACCTCATTTATTTCATCATCATTTCGAGTATTTATTTTACAACAGTTATTTCCTGCACTACAAGGCACCTACTGCAAGCACAAAAGGTGAGAAAATCTGTTATAGATAGAATAATATATCAGGTGGCTCGTGATAGTTGCCCACTCCGCCATTGTGTCCGTTGCCCATTATTATATAGTTCGTACTTTGGAAGCGGACAGCAGTCAGTACTGTCAGCAGAAATAACAGCAAGATCAGTAAAGAGAACACCGTCATTTATCATAAAAAAAATATCGGCCCCAGTCCACCAGCAGCAGTCGATATCTAAATGGGTGCAACGCACGATTATAACTAGCGATCGCGTGCCCACTGTTCCATTGTCACCAAGAGGGGTAGCATATAATAGTGTGAATGTACATAACAATACGAACTCATATCCCGTTTCGGTGAAGTTGAAGGAATGGCCAGCGTGGTATGCAGAATAGATATGTAGAATGTGTGACGACGGCAGATCGTCAGACATCATTAGTCATAACATCATTTCTCTCGGCTCCCACGACAACGTCTTTGTCTCGCAAAGGCACTAGGACAAGTAACTCACGCCGCTCAAGTCATGCTCAGATCTGATTTAGATCACCATCTCGATCTCAGGATGCCGCTCACTTAACAGTGATTGTACTCAGGTCAAGAAATCACAGATCAACGAACTGCCGTGAAGATCTCGACAGTTCCTGAGCCTGCGTGAAATGCAGGGCAAGGATTTAAAACGTTCGATACAATAGAGAACCGGGCATCTAACATCTAAAGATGGAACTCAGTACAGGGACATCAATGAAAATGCTCATAAATATAGCTTGCTCTAACATAATAGCATTTTCTAACCTGCGGCTGTCGCAACAAGCTTTGATCGAACATAAAGTTATACCATGATATAGAAACACTATCGCGGGACAGTTTCATATTGGAGTAACTTGTTACAAATAAAATACGTGGTAGTCGCAAAGTAGTTGCTTGCTTCGTTCTATCGAGCTGAAGGGATTACAAGCGCGTTGTTCTAACTTTCGTCTACGTGTATCTGCTACAAGAGCTCATACGTCTCTATGATACAACAATAGAGCAATTCTTTGTCTAAAATTCATTTTTAATGGTGAGTCATATTTGTCGTTAACGCGCACACATGGGCGAACAATAGCATTGAAAGGGACGCTAGTTTCACTATCTTCGAGTCTCGCTTCCTCGTTACTTTCCAACGGGCCATAAATTTTGCTAGATACGACAACATCAGCAACTCAAACAGATTTCCCCTTACGCTGAAGAGGTCAGTCCTCTACGAACACGATCATGTAGTCATGTGTCATTCGTAGAATGCCATCATTTTCTGTACGGAAGAAACTTTTATCTAGATTTGTTTTTTGGATAGAAACATCCTAGTGTATGGTTGAAAGTCCTGTTACCGTGGTTATACATGACCGCGTGCTAACACCAAATGTCGTCTCCATGTGCTCCATTTCCTACATTTACATTCTATGTGCGTGTGACAAATCGAAATGTGCGTAAAAAAAGAACCCATTTTAGTGCTGTTAGATACTCAGAAGATGTTTTATGATTACTGTGTTATCATACACATTGTAAACTATGCAATCTTCGCCTACAAGTAACCCAACGCGTATTCAAGCGTATTATTCCTATTGTACGAGAGAAGATTGTATAACCGGCTTTCGAAGAACTGTTTTCCTGATTCCTCCAATCGTAGCCCAGCTATCTATCTCTTTTTTAGCCCATTACGTCTCGTTAATAGCCTTGTCGGCGATTTATAATACAGCCGTAGCGATCGATCAGGCACACTGTTACGGCACCGGAACGTTTCGAGGCAAGATATCTAAAATCGTCCCTAGCGTCGTTACTAATACGTTTCCACGCGTAGAACAGAAACATCTTCTCTGCCGCTCTACGAAGACTGCGTCATTTCAAAACATTGTGGACCCTCTCTCCCTCGTTGTCCTTTAACATAGTTCTTCGGATTGTAGGAGTCGATCCTTTGGAAGGTTATTATTTACCCAGATGGCTACAGGCAACAATTTTCGAACTTATTCTAATCGGTACTTATTAACTAGTTCAGCTTAAACGAAAGCTATGTCAAATGTTTCTAATAAATAATTTAACGAATATGGCTATGCCTCGTGTGTGAAATTTCGCACGTACTATTTATATTGTACTCTAATAATTACTGCAAATAAAAATATGACCTCGCCTAAAGCTATCTGTGGCCAACAGCATAGACAAGTCATAGACTAGGTTCATTCAGCATGTGTTTTCTGTTGGAGCAATGTTAATTTGTAATATTGGCGCCGCCCAAGCGATCACGTATTTTAACCCAATATATAAATGTGTAGGTACCTTTCGGTCCGGCTGGTCCAGAGTTACCGGGCAATCCCACAGACCCTGGGAGACCGTCGTGACCCGGTTTCCCCGGGGGCCCCTGAGGTCCGGACTCGCCTTTCTCGCCTTTGATGGCTACAACCTCCATGTAGCCTAGACCTCCGCCTTGTTGCAAGCGGGTTGCCCCTACCGAGCGCTTGCGGTTTTGAAGAATAACATGTGCATCGCCTGGAAACAATCAGAAAGTTCAATGGAAACTGAAAATTAATACAACTGTTCGGTTTGATGATTAGATGACACTGGGGCAAGCAATTAAACACAGTCACCGTGTGTGAAACGGAGAGCTGTTTGAGAACAGGCTTAAAACAACGGTACCTTTTCCATTAAGTACACCGTATACTGTGCCATATCTGTCAGTTATACACCTATAATCATACCCTATAGTTTAAAGTTGATGCATGTTGGACGGCTCCATCTATGCAATATTATGCGATCACCAAACACGAAGTAAAATCGCTACTTCCAATAAGCGTTTTCGAATAAATATTCCATTGATTAATAGCACGACTTAGTTTGTATCGACGCCCAGCCGGAAACGCAACTCTCTATAGTTTTTATAATAAAAAAATATGATTTTTCCAAATTTTGTAACAAAACTTTATTAGATATATATATAATTTAAACTTTTCCGCAAAACTGGCTTGTGAAAACTCATCATCGCTTGATTCGTCCAGCGGTACAAAAGCGATGATAGAGTCGTGTTTTATGCTACTGTTTCATAATGTCATCTGTATGGAGTAATATTGAATAGCCTCTCACAATGAATAAACGCAATTTTATAGGAGAACCACAGAAGAACAATGCGTTATTTGCTAGAAAAACAGGACAACAAAATGTGTGATTTCCCCCTCTCTTCCTCTCACTATTACTACACTTATTAGCGAAATTTTTTGAATTTGCCTATTTATCTTTGTTTTTATCTCACTGGCCGGCATAAAATAGAAACGTTTTACACTGCTACACATCACGATTGAATCGACGTGTTGAATTCGTGTGTTATTAGTTACGATCGTTGGCTGGACTGAACGGTTAGGCTGAAACAGCAATAAACAGCATATTAAAACTAACAGTTACTATAATTGTTATTGTTGTTATTATTGTAACTGGTATCACTATTGCTAGAGTGTTTTAGGTTTCTAGAATTGGTTGATGAAGACGATGCCGCACCAACGATCAGGACCGAGATTTACAAAACGCGATAAACAACTATTGACAGTTAATTAATGATCGTAGATAATCGATACGATTATATGTGAGCAAGAAGGAGAGTCGCTGAAATTATCGAACGAAACAGTAAATAAAAGCACGGTCGTGAAGCGTTCGGGGTAGGAATACAAACGTAGAAATACTCTGTCTGTTGTCCTTGAAGATGGCTGTAAAAATTTTTTTCATTTTCCCGTAAAGTATCTTCAGGCAACCGCGGACGAAACAATCAGATAATGAAAACTTTGTACATACAACTATATATCTATGGTCTAATGGAACCCACTCGTCGCCGAAAAAAAATACCTGCCAAAGTATAATCGATAACATCTTCTATCGATAGACAATGACGAATTAGATTTATGATAAAATATTCAGCTCGGAAACTGTGCTGAAATAAGAATAAGGGGAAATCTATGTGTCCACTAAAGCCTGAAAGCTATGCGTCAATTTTTTTCGTCCTTCCTGTGTGCGCTCAACCCGGGTCTGCCATAATGAGATTGCAATAATTAGCGGTCTGTTCATCTTTTGAGATATGCAAAATCACAAGCCAGTTCTGGACCAATAACGTACGTACATGCACTGACAGACCGTAGTGTCCTTCTCTAGAAAACAAGAAATTTATAAAGACGTTAGTACGGCCGTAATGATTAGAACATTATGTATATCTGTATCCATTAACTTGTAAAAACGAAGTCATTCGCGGAGACTAGTAATATATCGGCTAGTGACTAGCCCTTTCATACCGTAATCGCGTCCTGTTAGCACTGGTTCTCGTTTAGATCTCACCCATAGCCATACATTGTAGAAAATTTCAAGATAGAAACACCATCCGTCAATGGCAACATAGTATGCCACCATTATCAGAGGTGGCATGCCCTAATGCCACTAACGGCAAACAGATTCTATGTTTCTAGCGTAACGGTTAGCCAAGAATGTCCGGCTTTTGTCATGATAATGTTTCTCGTAGCGATTGAATCGGCTCATCGGCGTAAACTATGCAGGCTTTCACTTATCGAGACGAAATGTTTTTACGTTCGAGATGGTTTTAATTTATAAAAGTTATGATAAGTTGTCGCGTCTGTGCAAGTAGACTTAGAATAGTATAAAAATAATACCACTGGGGCATTAGCAATTTATCATTTGTTTTATCACATTTTTGTTACAGCAGCATTTGTTTATAGGCCTTTGAGCGCTAAACGGTTACGACCATAACAAAAAAAAAAGTTACCATATCATCATACGAGTAGTTTTATCATTTACGTTAGCCTGTACGATCTTTATTTCCGACAAAATACTTAATAAAAATTTATTTCCTCCCCCTCAATTTAATTAAGCACGCTGAATTGATCTAGGCATTTTCCCCATTACTATTTTTAGTTACTTTTTGGAGCGACGATGACGATTTTTTGTACGAATACGTCTGTGCATTTTGTCAAAGATTACGCTAACGTTACCTAACAAGAAATACTCATCATTCGAAACCGTTAAAAATTCAGTGGCGCGTCTGTATGCCAAGTACAACGTCTTATCTCTGCTCTTAGACTGTCTGTCTAGTCGGAATCCATTTAGCTAACGTACGAAAAATCTTTTGTAGAAATATTAAAAACGATACAAGAAGTCTAGGGGTAGTTATAAGGAGTGAAAGGGCAATTATAAGGGTACAAAACGCCAGCAAGACTACAGAGGACAATATGTATGCATACGAAATGGATCATAACGAGCTTTCGTTAGATAATACATAACTGCACTGCAATGTCAAACTACTGCAGAAGATTGGATAGCTGACTCTATTAAGCCGCTGCTGATGTATAACAATTTGGCAAGCGACTACGCTATATCAATCTACTCGATTGGCGTCGGTGCTAGTCACACTTAATTCCATTGTGACATCCATTAATTGAGACAAATCGTCTGAGATGGATGGGTGTGCTTGATCATCGGCTCCTCCATCTCGACCCGTGCCTCCCGCACAATCCGAACGAGCGGGAACTTCTTTGCCGTTTATCTTTCCCGAGTATCCTCTAGAGTGCGCTACCTTCCTTCATCTTTTCACTGAAGTGCTGTACAGCGACTGTTCCGGCTGCTTCTTCCGCCAGCGTCAGCCGCGTTGACTGCAGCTCCCTTAGGCGACAGCAGCTGTACCACTCCGCCCAACAAACTAGATCCCTTTTTCCCCTTCATTTTGTCATCTGTTCGACAAGACGTATGGCAAAATATCCTCCGGCCAACTGGTACAAATCAAGTTACCTTTCCACTACTATTATTACGACAACTAGTTTTTCAGTGTCATTCCCGTTCCGACACCCCGAAAGCCAATTGCTGCGATACGGCCAGGCACGCACAACCACATCGTTTTCACTGGCATGATGCTACTGCTGTTCGCCGTATTTCATCTACTTCTATTCTCCATGTCTCCTCATTGTAGGTCTCGCTTTTTCCAATAATGTCGATTCTCATCGACGAGCATGGCTTCTTCGTATAGCGCGTGTTGCTCAGTAGTCAGCCTTTCGGCGTCCTGGTAACGGCCGTGCAGTTCCTACCCTAGTTAGCCGAGGCGAAAGGAAGAGAGATGAAGGGATTCCCGCGCTCGTTCATCAGCCTTTTGGTTTCGGTAGCGGGAGGTTGATCACCCCTTCCATTTGTTGGTGTCGGACACCCTCCTACTCAATAGAGTGATCTTTACATTTCGCTCTCAGCACGACTCAGGGTACAACAGCGTATACAGATAGAACGGGTCTCAGATTCATCTATTGTCAACTCGCGATCAGCAGTAACAAACCAGCATAAACGAGAATCCACTGCTCGGCTGTTAGCACGGTCCCGGCTTTAACAGGTTTCTTTTTTCTTGACTTTCCCTTTAGGTCATCTTGCCTAGATCAATACTGACGTTTCCTTTGAATGAAGCAGAACTAGCAATCGACGCGTCAGGCCATTTGATTTGTACAGAGATCGAAACGCTTCGCTGGTGCTGTGAATGCCATCGTTAATGTATGCCTTGCTGGTTAGGGTTCTCAAACAAGCGATAAGCTGCTTGTCTGCCTGCGGCGAGAACTCCCACACCAATTACGACTTCCTCTCTCGCGCATTTATCTACGATCTATACGAATGGTTATATCTGCTTGTTTAGCAGTGAGCGTGGAAGCGTGCGTCGTCCTCACGTTTAGGGGTAAAGAGTTTAGGGCTATGCGATGTTACAGGCCGCCCACTTATTCCCTGACCAAAAACACAGTATGGCCGCGATAGCTATAAAGGCTGGCTATCTTTGCTATGCACAGACACACAGCCAGGACGACGTAGTAACGGTAATAGTGTGCTGTTAAGAGAAAACAAATACTAGTTGCTTGCGCCAACGGGAGCTGTAAGTGGCTAAAAGCTAAAACAACAAGGTCACTTACGTAGAATAATACTCCTAAAGTTATGGCACCGTGGCTTTGGAAATCTGTTGATTAGCAATGTACTATAATGGAAATTGGTATTTTGTGTTGACTAGAAGGAGCAGCGAAGCTTTAAAACGCCAAAACTACTGTTGAGTAAATATTCGTAAAGAAACAGGGCTTGGTATCGGGTAGCTCTAAATAACACAGGCCAAGCCTAGGCCCTAGAGTGAATTCCGATTCTCTGTTTATAAACAACGGCAAAAAGGTATATAGTTCACCCGTGAGGCGTATAGCGGTGCCAATGGCCATACTTCTTGGCTCAAAGATATTTTCGATGCGATATTTTGCCTTCGAATCCATCTTGTATTGTGTTATTATTGAATTGCTACTAACATATAAGAATTGGCTTATAATAGAATTAAATAGTTGTGTGTTCCCCTATTAAACGACACACGTGCTTACGGTGTTCTTTTTTTTTTCATCTTACATGGTAACAAAAACGCCAATAGATTTATTTGTTTCGCTAAATAGCTCTAACGTTAAGTGTTCTTCGTGTATGAAATTAGCTATAGAATTGACTATTCT